ACTCCTGGCTCCTACTGCTGGCCCATTCTAGACTAGTTAAGAGGATTTCACAGTGAAATTAAAACTGCAAGTCTTCTCCTACTTCTTAAAGTGTCTGTGTGGTCCAGTGACTTTCTGTAAAAATCCATACCATATTCTGCTTTTCCCAGCACATAATGCCAGAAAAATCCAAACTAGAAGTCTTCTAGGAACTGTCATGTGAACAGATAGCTGTTTGGGGACACGGCCAGTCCTGTTGTCAGCATGTCACGTTCAGACATGCTACACACCACCTCACTGATGATAGTAAATTCTGCAGATCCTAGGGAAGGATCTGCTCAGCCACCACTAGCTTATTCATTGTTTATATACAATTAAAGGGTTTGGTTCAAATGAAGTATCTGAGAAAAGTCATTACTCATGTACAGACCAAACTGAGCATTTGTCATTTCCCTCGTGACTTAACATACTCTTTGTACTAGCTTGGGACCTCAAATTATATTAAGCAGAGTAGATGCTTTAACTCTTTTATTTAGTTTAATTGTTAGCCTTAATACACTTGTTCAGATTATTTGGATTTGTTTAAAATTAGCCCTTGCTTCCCCTTAATATATTATAATAGAAAAGAAGGGAAATTTTGTTTTAGGACCCATTGCATTCTAAGGATAAATGCAAATTGTTCTACTATGATTCTTAATGACCCACTATTAACATAGTGGGAAACCCAGTGCATTAATGCAATGCCTCTTTTCACATCATTACTCCTAATGGAACTGTTACCAGGATAATAGCTTGACCTTTAGCTGTAGATTTAGATAGCAAAAATATATTCTGCTTACTTGATACTGCTATTCACATTGCATATTGAGCATTTTCAGATCAATACAATGACAACCTTTTGGCCTTGTTCTGAGGCCTCATCTGCACATGTAACAGAGAATAGGATTTCATCTTCAGTAGACAGACTCTAGTTAAAAGTCTCTTTTAAGTTTGAATGTAAGCCATGAAATAGAATGTCAATAATATGCCCAGTGGAAATATTTGTTTGTATAGTATTTTTCAAGAAGCCCAATATCATGCCTTCAAAGGTCTCAGACATAGATCCCATGAGAGAGAGATTTCCCTGACTTCTTTTTACTGAAACCAGGTAAGTTTTAGCTGAGAAAGATAATAACCAAAAATTGTTGCCTTTTCAGTGAATGACAGAATACTTGAGCTCAATATTAAATTAGAAAGATCTGCTTGGTAGCCCAATGCAGAGTAGGAGAAAACACCCCAGAGCCTTCCCTTTAGTTCTCCTAAACTCGGTTGCTGACACACATTGTTGCTGGGAGTCATTTTGATGTCGGCCTAATCCACACCTATTTTGTTAACTTGGAACCACTACTTTCTAATGTGTGCTAATTTAGACACATGCATTTCAGAACCTAAGAAAAGAGGATTGCCATAAAAGTTAACTATATAAATAATATGGGAAGGGAGAGGTCTACCTGCTATGATGGTATAGTCTGTACCCATTTTCATATAAACTAGTAAGGTACAAAATGCAAGGTTTTCTTTCATTTCATTAAAACAAGACTTCAAGAACCTTTTTGGCACTTCTCTGAACAGGAAATGTTATTGTGGGCATTTGAATCTAATAAAACCTTGTTTCTTTAACTATATCCTGTTAATTAACACTGCCTTTCTCTCCCAGTTAGTCAAAATTCATGAGCTTCGTATTTGCTTTCATTAGAAACAAAACTGGGAAGTATGTCTGTTTGTCCATCAAATGTGTATTGAGTTCTAACTCAGTACCAGGCATTGTTGTAGCTGCTTTAAGGGAGATAAAATATATGAAGACCCCTGAAGCTGTGTGTCATCTGGTAGAGGAGATTGGAAAGCACACTAACCACTCCCCCATGATACTGAATCCTCTGCATCTCAATCAGGTGCAGACAGCTTACTCACCTGTGGACCATGTGCCTTTACTGAGCAATCTTGTTGACATCTTCCCCAGTCCTCAATTCTGCTTCCTAATGATCTCCCTTCCTCTGCCCAGGGGCTGGGTGGCACCTTTCTGTGAGGGCTCTCATCACGGCTGTACATGCTCCTCTCGCTCCCAGGTCCTGCTGTCAGGTGGATAACTTCAGTGTTCACATGAGCATCCACATGAAAGATCCATCCAACCCCCTAGCCACCTAATACTGGACCTCATCCACAGTGGCATTCCACTGTACACTGCTGCCACACCTTAGCCTCCTCATACCCATTGTGCCACTGCGGGTATTTTAAACTCTGGCATCATACCCTCAACTGCTCTTACTCCATGGCACCTCCTTGCCAATGCCACTGATAATTCTATTCCTGGATCTCCAGAGATTTTTCCAACACTATGAGCCTTTTTCTGGCTTCACTTCCTCAGCTAATGTGGGTGGGAAGGAGGAGTGAAGAAAGCTGAGGTGATTCATTTCAGGTGACATCTTCATGAACATCTTCAAGTGCTTTATGTCCCTGCCCTCTGGAGTATATCCCAAAACTTTCCAGCAAAATCCTACCCCTCAACCAGCCCTACCATCCAGGGGCTCTACTCCTAGCTAGTTCCATCAGGTACCACGGGAGGACACAGCCTGCCCCTCGGTGCACTGCAGCCACAGCTTGTTGCCCCTCTGCTTGATGTCGTCCTAGTGTCCTCAGTTGGCTGCTCTCCCCTTTCCTTTCTTCTCCAAGGCAACTCCAGACATTCTGTATCACTCCACACCCCTCACCACCAACTCACTGAAGTCTCCAGAGTGATTACTCCAACATATAAGCCCTTCTGAACCTCCCCCAGGCATCTCCATGCTCCAGAGCAACCCGCCCATTTCTCTGCCCGACCCTTCAGCCTCGCAGCTCCTCTGGTGTGGTTCCTTTGGTGTGTCCTTCTTCTCAGATCCCGTCTTCTGCCTCAGTGCCAGCCGCTTCCTCCAGCCTGTAAATCACACTTATGTCTCCCCAACCCTTAGCCCTCCTGCCCTCTCTTGCCCCTATTCTCCTCATTCCTCAACTGAACCTAGTTTTTTGAGTGCCATCTGTGGTCATCCCCATCCCCACCCCCCGATGGCCTCCAGAGGACACTTTCCAAGCCTCCGTTCCTATCCCTCTCTTCTGCCCTTTAGACTGTTGCCCCTCCTCTCTATTTGCACCACTCACTGCTTGCAAGACCTGCTTCTTCGAACTGCAGTGGAACCTGGGCTCCTTCATGGATCCTGTGCCTGAATCTACTTCAAACTCAGGTTCTTTCGGGCTCTATCCTTGGCCCAGTGCTCTCTACACCTGATATGTTCTCCCTTCAGTGTTTTTTCTCATTTTTTAACTACCGCATATATCTGAATGTCTCTCAAAGAGTATCTTCTGCCTGGACCCCATCCCTGAACTGCAATCTTCTTTATGGAAATTCCGGCTAGCCATCTCCACAGCGGGTATTCTGCAAACACCCCAATCTCAGCATGTCCCACACCAAGCCTGCTACATCCTGCCTTCCCCTCAAAATCCTTCCCTTTTGCATTTACCAGGTCATACGGTTCCCCAGAAGTGCCAATTCTAGGTACTGTCCTGGACCCCCTTGCCGTCTTCACCAACTGCCCTGACCCACACAATTGCAATAGCTTCCTGAGAGGAGTTGCTGTGCCTCCCCTGAGTCAAATCCAGTCTCCCCGTCACTGCCATTCATCTCTTCCTGCACAACTACATTGTTTGCATTGCATATGGGTTTTTTTCCTTTCAGATTATTTCCTTAGGATAAGTTTCTAGAAGTAAGACTGTCAATTTAAAGGTCAACAGTTTTATGTCTCTCATATATTGCTATCTTATTTCCTAAATGGGGTTTGCCAGTTTATGCCACAGTAATGTTTGAATGCAGCAGGCCTCCATGATTTTATCAATATTAAGTACTAGCTTTTTAACACTGTTTTTCTAATTCAGTAAGTATAAAGCGTGTTTTACAATTCTTTGGTTTACATATTAGTTGAACATTTTTCTTTGTGTTTTTTGCTAAATATACTTTGACCATTTATCTAGAGAGACTTTGTAAGTTGCTCTTTTATTTGAACAAGCTCTTTACATGGTGATAGATATTGAAGTTTTTTGGTCATATTTAGTACAACTAGCTTTTCTCCTTCTAATGAAATGTTTATTTCAACAGAAATGTAAAATTCAACACAAATTTTGCAGGTCTATATAGTTGAATCTGTCCACATTTTGTCATTTATTTTTAAAAGAAACCTTTAAAACAGTAAAACTACTAATATTTTAAACACCAAGAAGGCAGTGCAATGTGCCTGCATGCTAGGTGTTGACCTTTCAGAGAGGAATTTGAGAAAAGAGTTTAAAAGTGTCTAGGAACAGAGTGTGGAGCAGAACTGTCAGCAGCGTGGATATGTGCAGTCACATGCTGTGTGGCTTTAATACGATCATTGTCTTGCCTCCCTTTTGTCCTGTCATGTGATTCTCCATAGTTTCTTTGTGCTTAATAGGTAGTTCTTTCCTAGAAGCGAGTACAGTATACAAGAGGTTGGCTCAAAGTAGAATTGGAACTTGCATGAAGACACAACTGCATTACTACCTGAGTACTGATTGATTTAGTAGGAATCACTCTGATATCATCTTTTTGTGTAATTCTGCATTAGGTTTTGAATTCGCAATAATAATACATTTGCTGAATGTTGTCATGGGGCCAATGGACCCATTGGAAGCATTTTCTTCTCTGCCCATAAGACACATACACATGGATGTGGAGAAAGTAGAAACAGCAGTTCCCATAACAAAACTTACAAAACATAGTACGTATTTACCAAGTACAGCAGGTTGCATTTTGCATCACAATTCAGGACTCTGCCAATCTCCATCCTTAACAAAGGAATGGAATATGGATACTGAAGATAGCAGTACAGAAATGACATCTTTTAGAAATACATTACCTTTTTTCCTTCTTAGGATATATTCCTATTTCAGATCTGCATATTTTATTGAAGTATTTAACAGTTTTTCACATTTTCTTGCAGTCTTCACGGAAAAATACTGTACTGCTAATCATGTGGATAAACTTCCGGGCCCAAGAGACTGGGTACAGATACTGCAGGATCAAATTAAACTGGCCAGAAGAAGGTTAAAAAGAGGCTCAGGTATGAATCAGCCGCAAGAAAATAATTGCAGAAGATCCTTTGTGGAATTCTTAAACATTACATTGCAAAGTACAATTCTTTGCTCTAGGGCACTTCATTGTCTTCTGTATTTCTAAGGAGCAGCTCTACATAACATACTATGGTCCTAACTTAATGGTCAGTCTTATTCAGATGAATCTTGAAACTCACCTGAAGTTTAAATAGTAAAAAAGTATGTCAGGCCATCTTCTTTATTAATAGTACAAACAAAAAAGATTGCTAATCCCATTTATGGTCTTGTGTGTTTTATGTATGTAACTGGGACTCTCTATTGCCTATTGATTTTTGTTTGTTTGGAACTGCATGACTTTGTAAAAAGTCCTATAATTTTAAGGTAAACGTAACAAAAACTATCCTACCAGAAACACCATATTAAATAGACAGAAAGGGATGTTAAGTCAAATGTGTGTGTGTGTGTATATAAATATATATATATTATATATAAATATATGTTG